TGTCAGCCTTTTGAGCTTAAAGTTAATTATAATTTCAGTTTCCTGATTTCATATACATATCTGAGATGTGCAGCATGTTTCCATCAGCGAATCGGGGCAAGCCGAAGCCGGAGATTATCGCATGTAAAGCGATAATCAGAAACATGTTCTCCAAGAAGTACAAGCACTTGGCCTGGATATTCTACGAGCCCATTGATGCCAAATTACTGGGCTTGATYGACTACTACAAGATTGTRAAGCACCCGATGGATCTGTCGACCGTCAAGTATCGGCTCAATTCGAATTTTTACGCAAGCTCCGCCGATTTTGCAAGTGATGTGCGCCGCATATTCTACAATGCCTATCTATACACAAGTCCCGGCCACTTGTGCTACGATATGGCCAAGAAGCTGCAGATCATATTTGAGAATATGTACTCCAAGGTGCCGAAGCCCTATATTCCCATCGAGAGCGGCAAGTGCAGCGGCTGCGAGTACGGCAGCGATGAGCAGAGCGAAGACTCCACTTCGTCAGCTCAATCCAAGGAGAACACCGCAGTCTGYGCCGAGTACAATGCCCAAATAYGCCAGGAACWACAGTCTATCCCTCTGCGGAAGGAGCCCGAGCCGCTGGTGATCTCCGAAGAGGATTTGGAATTGCATATCAGAGTGCAGCAGTTGGACGGCATCATGCTGTTGAACGTCATACACATGATCCGCCAGATGGAGGGCATTGCTTTCGCCTGTGGCCACAGGGAGATCGAGTTCGACGTGCGCACCCTGAAGACCAGCACAAAGCGCTCCATCTTGGCCTACATGGCCAGCAGAGGCGTCACCGGCAAGCGCATGCCGCGCGTGAAGAGAAACTATTGATCTTATTACTAGCACTAACGTTTATTGTTAACTATAATATGTTCACTGTCAATAAATTTATGTTTCCTATTATTATTGGCCTRTTCTATGTTTTGTGGGTCTCCTTGTAGCTGTCCCGGAACCGTCGTATGTTTCTGAACTCGCCGTTCCACACCTTGTTGCGCATGATGTCCCGAGTATTGGACGACATRTAGGCRTAGAAAGTCTTCCGGGGCGGTCCGCTGCGGCACAAGTAGTTGCCCATGGCGTACCAGCAGGCACCCATGTGACTCATGTACATGTCGTTCAGCTGACTGTAGTAGTTCATTCTCACCTTGGCGGCCTGCAGGGGAGGAAGAGGCATGAGCGGGTGGTGCTGTACAGCGGAGGTGATTCAAGGCAGTTACTTACCAGGGCCTTGGCCTGCTTGCAGTAGCCGAAGTTCTCCTTGCTCGGCGGCAGCTTGTCCATGCCCAGCAAGTCAGCCGGCGGCGGATTGGCCTGCAGCATGGTTATCAGCTCAAATATTTTGATCGACTCGAGCAGATTCTTCTGGATCTCCTCCTCGGTATATTGCTTGCCGTAGCGTCGCTTAATCCACTCCTGCAGCACGGGCAGTTTGTGGGCGTCGGGCAGGGATGCCAGGACGAATCGTTGGTTTTTCTTGAGCTGGTCTAGTCCATCCTTGAGCAGGCGACTCATGAGCTCCGCATCATCTGGATTGAATTTCTCCACCTCGTAGGTGAGCACCGCTGCCTCCTGGGCCTTCTTTTTGTCATCGTCTTCCTTAGCCTCCATTTCGGCACGCTTCACACTGACGCCCTTCATCCAAATCTCCTTGGCGCAGCGCACCACAGCGTCCACGATGTCGGCCCGGTGGTTCTCGTGACTGCGAATGCTGTGCTCGCTGGTGTCGCCAATGGAGGCGCAGCTGTCTGTCAGACGAACGCCGTTGATCTCCTTTTCCATTTTTTCGGCATCTTCATCGGATGTGACGGATGGCTTCTTGCACAGCGGAGGCGGCATTTCATCGCCCCTATCTAGCGCATTTACGAAGGCCTTGGCGATCACCTTCTTGATGTCCTGCGGCTTCTCCTGGCCCGACTTGAAAATGCGCTTGTACTTGAATTGGTAGGGCTTGTGGTCGGTGGGTGCCACGAAAAACGACTTCTTGGTCTGCTTGCCCTGAAAGCGCACTTCCACAGAGGACTCCTTCCGGTTCTTTCGCAGACTCTTCAGCTTGCTATCATCCAGCAGGAAGGATATGCGGTGTTGGCTCTTGCCCTTTGGCGCGAAGCATGCCATCGGATCATTTTCAGGGATCAGCTCGGCGTTAATGCCCGATTTCGGGCATGGATCCACTGGAGGGTCAAACTCGACTGGCTCCTTAATCAATCCACCGCCGGTCAGCCGTTTTCCAATGCACTTGTCGGTTACCTCCGTGTGTGCCAAGTGCAGCCCGTCCCCAATAAGGGCGCGCCCCTTTTGCTCCTGCGGCTTGGCTGCGGGCAGGTCCACACGTTGCTCCTGGCAGAGCACGCAGTTGGACTTCTCTATCGTGTGCACCGTCGTGCTTTCCATCTTCAACGCATACCGTTTCATGCARTCGTCAATGTCGCGCTCCAGCTGGGCTATAATGCGCTTTTGGCGTATCTGGCGATAGGGCAGCGTCACGTCCATCAGCTCTAGGCAGCGGTTGCGAGCCATCACCGTCATCTCGTCCTTGACCAGCTGCGTTTCCCCAACTGCAAACTTGTGGTAGGTGCACATCTGGGGCTCATCGCTATTGTCAGTTAGGGCTCTTTCCAGGGCAGCTGCCGCCCTGCGGCTGAATCTGGCTCTGCGCTCGAGGTATTTGATGTGGTTCAGGTGATTGAAGTACTTGTCCACCGCTTCACCCACAATACTCTTGACCAGTCGACCCACTGGATTTAGGTTGTACTCGGCGAACCATGGGGGCTCCGTTTTCCTACCATAGTTGGGCGGCTGATCCAAGTGCCAGAATGGGAACGTGGCAACCAAATTGGGCGGCTTACTTATGTATTTTACGACGATTTCCTTGGGCCTCGGCTGGCGCTGGAAGTACGGAGACTTGGTGGAACGACGCATGGTGACTTTCTTCGTCGAGCGTCGTTCAGTCACCACGGCCTTGGAGGGTCTCGGCTGATTGTAGCTGGATTGCTGGCGCTTCAATTCCAAATCACTCAGCTGAGGCGGTGGCAGGATGCGATCCAGCTCACGCAGTGTTGGCAGCAGGTCTATTTTGGACAGTGCCATCATCAGCAGCTTCTCGTTGGTGGTGTATTCCCCATTCTTGCGGCAGCTCAGGTAGTAGCCCTCGAGTATGAAGAAGAGGAAAGCCAGATCATTACCTCGACTCAGTACCACCATCGTGCGAATCTTCTTCTTGGTAATGAGCGGACTGAGGCCCAGGCGCATCAAGCTCTTCTCCACGCGATAGCAAGTGCCCTGCTCGAAGTCATCGCGCAGATCGTTGCACAGCTCCAAGACGGTTCGCTCCTGATAGTCCGATAGGCCCAAATACCATTTGGGCACATCAAGTTTCTTTTGGAACTCCTCCAATTTCTTTATAAAATTAAGTTGCCCCATTTTGCATTAAATTAATACGCATAATTTTGCAAACGCTCAATTTAACACAAGGATTAAAGAAAAAAAAAAAAAAAAACCTATAATTTCACAAGTTTTTACTGAACATGGACTACTTAAGAAAAAATAAAAGCAAATGATTTTCTCAGAACATACACAACTCTTAATTACATACGAACAATACGAATTCTGATTGAGATTTCCAACCTGTCCGCTCCAAGGCTGCTAAACACTGGCGACGAAATGCTTTGAGTTACATTTCAATTTGCTTTTCAGGGTTGTGAAACCTCTACACGAATGTTCGTTCGTCTTGGTCATCAAATTCTAAGTGTGGAAATGTGTGCTTGAGCAGCGCATTTATTGATTGTTCCTGATCCTGTTGATTGTCCTCAGCCGAGATGCCGCTGCCCACCGTGCGAGGAAACAAGTGCTGCCTGGCCAAAAAGCCGGCGAGGTTTATTCAAGTATGCAAGCCATTGAGATATAAGCCTATCGAGGCGGTACCGTGCTGTGCCTTGTCCAATCCGATTCTTAATTCAGATTACCACGATTCCAAGTTATTGAATCAGCGCGTGGCTGTTAAGAAAAAGAGTAAATGGCCCCTGATGAGGGGAAAAGCGGTTCAGACCAATGATAGAATCTTAGAAGATAAGATGACACAATTTCCAGACGCCGGCCGTACTGTCAAAGAGGAGGAATATGTTGAATACAAAGTAACTAGGCCCTCCGGCTCCACGGAGACTGTACATAAGAAAACAACCTCGGACATCAAATACGATCATCTGAATTTGGTTCAAGGCATCAAGCTGGAACAATCTGTAAGCAAACAGATCATCAAGTCAGGCAGTATGGGATTCATATCGCTAAATACAAACTACTCGGAAGACACCACAGATGGAAGASTGTACAAAAAAATAGAATCTCAGTCGAAGTCTGTACAAAAGGGAAAAGAAACACGACAGCGTCACATTGAAATGGTGTCATCGTCGAAGGCTCGCACTTCAACGTCCCAACGGTCTTCACGCTTGTCCGCTCATCGTCGATCCTCGGAGAAGCCGTCAATAGGCGTGAAATCGGGACTTAGCTTTAGATCTCGTATTTCAGCAATCGAAGGATCAGCACATTCTGCGGAAAAGTCGCCTAGGAGTGGGGGCGGAAAAGTAGACAGTTTTTATAACGAAAGTCGCAGGAAAGTTAAAGATATAGAAGCAGCGAGGCTTCCGAACAACAGCATTAGCCATCGTCCAATTAACCGTAAAAGGAAAGAGGCCAATAGCGAAGTAGTAGAAGGATTTAATAAGAATTCCAAAGGTCGTCCTATACAGCAATCAGGGTTATCACTAAATATCACAGTTAGTCATCACACTGATATTTTACTAACCGCCCAGCAATCAGAAGGCTCAGAATGTCAGTCTAATGACGATTTAAGAAAAGAACAAAAACAGGGAATGTTAATGCAAATACCAGGTTTAGCTACAACAATCCGAAATCAGAATATGTCTTGTGATTCCATTTTAGTTGCCGACCAGTTAGTGCAGAGTATAGCAAATAAATCACCTTCAATAACCGAAGAAATGCAGGACCCAAAAACAAGAGGTCCATCCACAAATGCTCCCAATTCAATGGATCCGAAATCAAGAAAACCTTCTGAAAATGCATCTCCAAGAGGCCAATCCCAAGTTTCTCCCAGTAGGGAAACAAAGAGGGCTACAGGAGAGCCTTCCCCAAGAGGGCAATCCAAAGTGTCTCCCAGTGGGGAAGAAATGAGGAATTCAGAGAAATCATCTTCAAGAGGTCAGTCCGAAGTTTCTCCCAGTGGGGAAACAAGGAGGCCTACAAAGGAGTCATCTCCAAGAGGCCAATCCCAAGTTTCTTGCACTGGGGAAACAAGGAGGACTTCAGAGAAGTCATCTCCAAGAGGTCAATCCCAAGTTACTCCCATCGATGAAGAAAGGAGGACTTCAGAGAAGTCATCTCAAAGAGGCCAATCTCACGTCTCTCCCAGTGGGGAAGAAAGGAGGAATTCAGAGAAATCATCTTCAAGAGGTCAGTCCGAAGTTTCTCCCAGTGGGGAAACAAGGAGGCCTACAAAGGAGTCATCTCCAAGAGGCCAATCCCAAGCTTCTCCCACTGGGGAAACAAGGAGGACTTCAGAGCAATCATCTCCAAAGCGTCAATCCCAAGTTTCTTCCAGTGGGGAAGGAAAGAGGAATACCGAGAAATTATCTCCAATAGAACAATCCCATGTTTCTCCCAGTGATGAAGAAAGGAGGAATTCAGAGAAATCATCTCCAAAGCGCCAATCCCAAGTTTCGTCCGCTGGGGAAACAAGAGGGACTTCAGAGCATTTATCTCCAAGGCGTCAATCCCAAGATCCTGACAAGTATGAAGGAACAAGTGATGAAGTAAAATCGTCTTCAAAACATCCATCTAATWGGAAYTCCAATGAAGAGCCAAAGACCGATGATTTTCGTTTTAATGACATCGTAGCTGAACAGGAAGCTTCGCTGCATCAGGATGTAAACAACGCAGGATCACAAGAGGTAGCTCAAAATCAAAATAATGAAGATTCAGGAAACAATTCAGGGCAAACAAAGATCAAAACTCACGTTTATAAATCAACTGAGGAAGAGAAAGTCGATGCAGATGGAACTCGAGTTAACTCGCTATATATCGACTCCATATCTGATATGGAATTGGCGGACAATAACAATGCTGAGCTCCAGACAGTAGAGAGCGAAGAAGCTGAATATGTCGTCCAGATTAACAACTGCTTCAGGGGACCGCAGTGCACGAATGCCTGCGGCTATTGTTGTTCCGCATATTGGCGAATGTGCAATATGCGGGGCTGCAATAACCGCATGAACTGTCCAGGGACATCCAACTGCAATGGACAGTGCTGTTCGTACAACTGCTGTCGTTCCCGACAGCGTTAAAGGCTTCTTCTGCAGCTTGGCAGCGCCAGCAGGAGTCGGCATTTTAATAGCCTCGGCACACACAGCAGCACAATAAATATTTGCCTAACAACATTTGCATATTGTCTTGCTGAGAGCTTTATCCTGGCTATGGCTTACTTGACACAATTCTCGCAATTCCAAATAATTTGCGGTTGACCAGATTGTTAATATAACTGGCGATTAGCAGAGCCATAAACTTCTGTGCACTTTCCGAATTAAATGCATTTCAGCAGCAAAGCCCCAAAGTTTATTCAGTTGCATAAATAGCTCTCGGTTTGCAGCAAATCCCACTGCTTTGCTTCCTTGTTGGCCAACAGCTCTTGACCTGCAAATAAAGATTACATGGATTTCAAGGCAGTTGGGATAGCCATGGCTAAGTAAACTTTGCCTTGAGCTTACGCAGCGCTTTCATTTTGTATAAAAAAGAAGTGCTGTTGGGAGCAGTCCAGGTAGCATACATAATTAATTTAGCTTTGGCATTTTGATATGCCCAATTTCAGTTTCTTTAAAACTGTCACATAATGAACAGATAAAAGTGCTTGAGTTGAGACTGCTCAGTCAAGCTAGTCAGCTTTAATCCTTAGAGATATTAATCTTCATTCATTATACTCAACTTTTACATACATACATATATATATATATATAAATACATATATACATACATACATACATAAATACATACAAGCATACATAGTACATAGTACATACATACTTTCATATATACATACATATATACATATGTACATATATACTTCCATACATATATTTTTCTGGATTTTTAGGAGCACGGTATCCTGATTTCTAAAGTCTATCAAAATCTATTCCACAGTAAGGACAAATTGTCGATTTTTATCAATATGGCAATCGAATAAGTTATCGAAAAGCTTATTATCTTCTTTTGAATATACAGGAATAATATTTAATAGTTCAACTCTCCATCATTTATGGGTTACGAGATCGTTGCGCTCATATGGATTGGACAAACGGCAAAGGCTTATCGATCTTCTTATGACCTTCTACTGCCTGGTATTTCACAATACCATTATACCACGGTTTCCCCTTTGCGATGGACTTAAAAATGCTTGGACTTGCACTATAAATTCTAGCATATTATTTCTCATTTGTTGTTATTTGCCTTGACATCTCTGCTCTCTAATATTATTTCTGTTCTTCTATTATTTTACCTAAAATTTGCTTTCTTAATGTTTAGAGTAAACGGCATCACAAAGAATTTGTCGAGTGCACAGGTAACTGGGCCAGCACCTGAGCAAGAGACTGAGTGAGTTGTCATTAAATGGCAACTGTATCTGGCTTTCGTATCTTGGGGGTGGGCCAGGTTCGCCTGTTGTCTGTTGCCTATTTCCTAGTTTTGTCATAGGGAAATTGAGTATCTTCATTTACGGATATTAAATGCCTTGCCCACTTGCCAGCTGTCAGGGCGGCAGCAATCCAAAAAACAACCAAAAATCGAATTGATAGCAATTATGCAGACGAGATATATTTTGCAATTTAATTTTTTTGTTCAGTACGATTCGACCGTTTGGATTTATTTTAGTCAATGCCAGACTTATAGAGCGAACAGCAAGTCAAACGGAAGTTCAGTTCTGGCCACTGAATATGGTTTTCGCCGCTTTCCACAACTCTAGCTATCCGTCTACTTAGCAAGGCCGGCAGCCTGGCAGCCTGGCAGCTGGCTTTTGATTTTATTTCGTTTCATGTTTTATTCACCACTTCCGCCGGAAATAGACATATGAGCGTGTGCGCTCGCTGAGCGTATTAGGTGGCAATATGCCTTTAGTTTTTGGCAGCTCGATGGGCCCGGCTGGTAAACATTTGTTTTGCCCAACAAAGTAGAAACTGTTTTCGCAAACAAATCCCACATAAATGCTCAATTTATAACAAACCGGAAGTTAAACTTAATCAAGCGTACTTTTTGGCTTATTGTTTAGTCTGTGTGTTTATCTTTCTCTCTCTTTCTCTCCTTCTCTCTCTCTCTCTCTCTCTCTCTCTCTCTCTCTCTCTCTCTCTCTCTCTCCCTCTCTCTCTCTCTCTCTCTCTCTCTCTCTCTCTCTCTCTCTCTCTCTGTCTGCCCGTCTATATCTCTTTGGCTCGTTGTCCCATCTGCTTTTCCGTATTTACTTAACATATTTTATTGCGATACTTTAGCTGCTCTATGATGGCTGTTTCGCTCTAGGGGGAGATTATATGGGGATTTGTGTGGCACTGTTATTTCAGCAAAATATTTTCATTTTTCTAGCACGAGAGCTGCTTGCATTGTGTATCCTCCTTTCGGTTTATGCATTTATGTATGGCTACGCCTCCTCCACATATATATTTTGGGCATAGTTTTACTGTTTGCAATTTATGTGATAAATTGTATTAGACTCAAACATGACAGTAAACATTTATGGCCAGACAATGTTATTATTCTGCTTTTTTCTCCTGAGTTGCTCTGATATAGAGAGGAGTTTATTGAAAATTTAACTAAAATGGAAGACCAGACCTGAGCTTGTGCTGCGTATGTATTGAGAAATGTTTTATGCTTCCCCAAAGCAATTTGACTCCTATTGTTTGTCCATTGTTCCGCTTTATTAACTTAGCTGAAAGCGACATCAGCCAACATGCTTCCCTGCATTCCGGCATCCTTGTGCATAGATAATAGCATATCTTCTTAGCATATTCCATTGAAAGTTGTGCAATAATTGAAATCGACATTAGACTGCATTACTTGGGTCGTATGCAAATTTGAGGGCAATTGCGAAGCAATTAACCCAAATGAAATAAGTTTGTAAACATGTCTTCGGGCGGTGGCAAGTGGGCGTGTCTGTCTGCTTCTCGTTTGCCATTGTTTGCATTCAGTTAGTTAGAGCTCAAGTGAGCACACATACATGCACACACGCACGCACACTCCAAGCAAATAGAATTAGACGGCGGAGAATGTAACTATGAATATGTGGGCGCATCTTGAAAGGGGGGAAGGGGAGGGCGGCGGTCGGCGGGCGGTGTGCCAAGGGGCGTTACAAATGTTTTCCATTTGCTAATACGTTCGATAATTGCAGATTGCCATTGCTGCATACGAATCATACGAGTGCTCGCTCACAAAGCTCCTTAGAGACTCCAGCAGCCAGCAGCCAGCATCAATCAGAGCAGGGCCCGGGCAGAGCAGGTGAGTCGATTATCCGCACGTTGCCACAATTAGAGCTCATTGTTGTTAAATCGCAGGGATGTGCATGGCTGCACTGCCTAACAAAGGCCAATTCAAGACGGCAGATAATTCGTTAACCTGGTTATGCCATTTCGGTGACGGGCTTTGCATAAGAGTCTCGAGAGCTCTGCTGGCAGACGTCAAAGATTTTTCAGTCACAGCATAAAAAAAAAGGAAAATTATTTATGTATTTAGAACAGACCGAGTCACCAAAATTTCGAAATTAACGAATCCTTAAAAGTTATGGGAATATGTCGGTCAGGCCGCCAATGAAATTTGGATTCGCCCGATTAACTCACGCCCATGGAATCCTTCAGCGGCACAGACTATATCCAGCGACAACCCATGTACTATTTCGGCCGGTTTTCAGTGGCCATAGAGCGCGTAAGATTTCGGGCAACTCTGGCATGACATCGGGTAGCAAAGGCAAGTGGTCGCTGCATCTCAATCTGGAGCGAGCCCAGGACCGAGATCGATCAATTTCGTTGCCTTTGATGGTTTATTTATACAGTCCTTGGATGATGTTTAGCATAAAATTTAACCTATGGATACTCAAATTACTCTGGGATTGGCGCTTTGCCGAATTGCAATTTGTGGACAATGCGAAGCAGGCGCTAGTGCTGGTCACCAAGTTCATTGTGGAGCAACACGAGGGCTATATCAAGCGCTGCACGACCCCGATGGGATACAAGCAGATCAGGCACGATCTGATCGGGTCCAATGCCAGCACCGCCAAATTGATGGTCTTTGACAAGCGCCACATTCGCCGCGCCATTCCCCTGAAGATACAGCGCTTGCAGCACTACGATCATAAGTTCGCCTTCATCGATATGATCTTCTTGGCGTGCCGGCGCACCAACGACTTTGTATCGAAGCAAGAGATGCAACGGATGCAGAATCTTGTGGCTCAGTGTGCGGACACTAGTCACATATTCGTCCCCAATCCCATAATCTTTGCGGAATTTTTTGTGCGCTTCCGGAGAGATTACTCCCTGCCGTGCACAGAGCGTGCCGGCCATTGGCTGATATCCACGTACAAAATACTACGCTTGGATGTGCTCAACAATCATCCCGAGTTCCATGTTGGCAGTGGTGTCTACGACATCGTCAATGACGTCCAACCACTTCATCAGAAGACGACTCACGCCTAATTTTAATATGAGGTGTACAAAAAACATATGCAAATAAAATTTTTGTTGAATAGTTTCAGAGGAGTTGATCGCAGCTCTTCGAATTTGAGGCGCTCATAATCCGCACGATAATGAGTCCGGTGCCAGATGGCGCCCGCCTGGCTGATTCAACAGCAAACTTGCGTTAGTGAGAGGAACAAGCAAAAAAGGAAAAGAAAATGTGAAAAGCAAGAAACTGTAAAGTGCAAGATGTGTTGCTGCACTCAGCCCCCGGGCTGCCCCTCGAGCTAACTTTGTTTTGCTGTTGATGAGCCGGCGACGCAGCTCATGAATATCTAATGCTAAATGCAGCGAGGGGGAAGCACAGGTGAGAGGCGGGCCAGTCAAGTGCCTGCGTGACGGACATGATAGTTCAATCAGCTAGCCGAGGGCTGGCTACAAGTGGACAGCTCCAAGTGGGCTGCGATTGCAGCAAGGGTATACTGATATACCTATTGAGTAGGATGTACTTGTATAGGGCGAGCTGATTTAGTCTGAGTGTCTATGATATTTCAGGAGTTGTTTGCTTTAAGTGCTTCAGTTAAGAAACAGATATAGAGTGCTTTGTTTGAAATCTATGTGTGGGAATATCAATGCATATGCTACAGTGCAATATGAACTAAATGCCCGCTGCTTATAGACTAGGTATAGACTTTAAATATTTAGTGTTTTAATTTTTGAATATAAGGAAATACTATAAATAGAAATTCTATGAGAGCCTTAAAATTGGAATCTATATTTTTTGCGTAGTGCTCAATTAATTGCGAATCGATTCTCTTTCCATATGAAATATTTCTGATGCATTCTAAAAGTAGACAAGTAGTAATTCAAGCATACCTAGCCCCAACCGATATAATACTACAAATAATGGCT